TATCAGGTGCTAACTATGTATACTAGTCCTACGCCACCTGGCTAATATTTCCTTATGTGTGTATGCCTGCATGTGTGCTGGAGATGTATTGTGTTCTTCCATAGCTTTGTTCCTTAATTGCCATAAACAAACATCTGTGGCAAGTGAGAGAGGTTCACAAAATCAAACTATCACTAACAGATCTTACCTATCCCTGTTCTGTAGGATTAAAAACAACTGATCACATCAGCCTCCACAGTTTACTTCTTGGTCTTTTGGGTTACTCCATACAGTATACGTACACACCAATTGAAAACATTACATCAATTCAAAGGGTTCGTCGGGATAGAGTGTCTCCACCCTTGTCAGTGACCTCTGTGACAATTAAAAGGTCATATATTCCTGCTATCTTGCCTGTGGCCTGGACAATACAATTGTAATGTCATTTACAATGAAGATAAATAATAGCAGAATGAGAAGATTGACCAATGGTCAGATGTATACACAACTGGTCAAGCTTTGTCACCGGACACCACAGTGGCTTCAGAGTAAACATCGGGGTGGAAAACATTCAGACGTTGCCAGGAATTTGCGACATGTGGGGTAGATTGACAGATACAGGTATCTCACGGGGACACGACAGGGAAATTAGGGCTTAAAAACATCCCCATCAAAGGCAAAACACATCAGTCAGATTATTAGTCAAACACAAAGAGGTTACAGCATTTCATCCAAAGCTTTATCATCCAAGAAATGGTTCTTTGGTCCTTTTTGATGAATTTGTGACCAGATCATATTTCAGAAGTATCAGCTGTAGCAAACGTGATACAGTATAACTATGTCATAATCAATGATATTAATGCAGGTTTGATTCCCCCCATGTTCAAGGCAACTTGTGTTGGACCCCTTAATGCAGGGAACTAGAATTCATAAAGAAAATTATACCGGCAAATAAAACAAAGTCTCAATACAGCTGATCTACATACATGATTTTACTATATATGTCACATACTGTATAACATAAAATGTTTGTTGTGCATAAACATTTGTGGTTTTCAAACCAAATTTGGTTAATATATACTTTACTTCTTTTTGTTTACATGGGGAATCTGCGAAAGTTTACCACAAAACTATCTAAATGGTTTTAATCCCCAAAAGAAAATATCCACGAAAATTGCATGTTATTCAGTATATGAATATCTTGATCAATGAAATATTTAACTTTGTTGACCCAAGTGGTTACATTTTTTTTCTTAAGAAAGAATTTATAAATGACAAAAAAAAATTGCACTCAGCAAAAAACAGTGATAAGCATTTTTTGTTGTCAAGATGATTTCCATGTTTTGCTATGATACGCTCATCTCGTAGAAAAATAGGAGAAATTGAAAGTTGTTTTGATCAGCAAAGACTACATTCGCTACAGTGATCAATGTGACAATGTAAGTTTTCATGCTGCAGGGTGTGAAACCTTACCGAATGAGAGTTATATCTACCGCACAAGGTTACTAGGCTGTTCACACCCATCACAAACTTATCAGGCAATTTCATGGCAACTCAACAATTTGCATACAATTTTTTTGATAAACTTGTAACATATTCATAAATTCATGAGTGAATCTAGATTTAATTTAAACTCCGCAGTATGAACATTAGATTATCATCATTGCTCTCTCTGGGAATTACTGCCCCAGATCTGAAGTGTACTCGGTCAATGGTGAAACTACTGGACACTGCTGTGCACTGTAAGGAATAAGAATGCTGTATATCTAGTTTACATAATTCAATTTCACAGTCATTTTCTCTCTCTCAAATTTATTAACATAAGGGAGTAAAAACATGTTTTTATGAAGACATGAAGACTTTCTTGAGCCTTGAAATAAAACCTGTGAATGTTTTAAACTTGATGCTCTTTTCCACTTCAATAGAAGCTGGTAGTCAACTCTTCACTAAATGGCAAGTTTACACTAATTCAATTTCACTTTTTCTCAAATTCATGAAGAACACCCATCTTTGTACGACAAATTTTGCAAAGTATGCTGTAATATGAACTAAAATTGTCACTCCCCCCCCCCCCCTGATTATCAATATGATAGCAAAAGAAACTGTTACTTTCAGAAGAATGTTTAATCACAGCAGAACACCAAAGTGAAAATACTTTTAGATTTTAACAGATAAGATAGATAAATTCAATTACGATTGTAAGTACATTCCTTTTCAGCTCTTATGAACAATAAAGGCGCCGAACATAAGGAAGGAGAACAAAGTAATCCTTCTCCTTACAGTTAATAGAAATTATGTTTCCTCAGTGGAAACCTGTCTACGAGTCTTTATCAATCTTTATAAAGCCAAAGGGGGATAACTCCAGCAGTATTAAGGAGGCAAACCTGTATATATCCCATATTGATTTTGGCCAAATTTTATTAAACAACTGGAAGCTAAAACAAGAAGTCAAGAATCCCCTCCCTCTCAAAAAAACCCTGAGAGATCCCAGAGTGGTCTTGGCGCCCACCATAGTACCATTTTCACAAGTTCTTTGTCAGTTTAATTGATCTTTTTTCTTGTTTTTCTCTTATCTGTTCAATCAGTTTGCTTATCTGCCATCTTAATCATTTGGTTTAGTAGTTTGGTTTAGAATTGTTTAATGTCCTATCAACAGCTATGGTCATTTAAGGATGGGCCATCTTAATCAATCTTTTGATCAACCTCAAAAGTTAACATGCACCATGCACTCAGGACCACTGAGTGAAGGGGAACCTACATATCAAATTTGAAAAATTCCTCCAGTTATTTCTGAGAAATAGCAAAAACAAACTTAAACTGTAACAAGATGGCTGGCCGATATAATTTGATATGCATAAGAGGAACCCTTTCGTGAAATTTGAGAAAGATCACTTTTTGAGCAATAAATAGTCATTACGACCACCTGCCAGCCATCTTGGTTTTCCAATCATCCCCAAAATTTGAATGCGGAACTAGGAGCCATGGGCAAACTTTGATTCTCAAATTTCCCTTCTGTCCCAAAATGTAATATGCGTAACTATGGGTGATGAAGAACTTTCGTGTCAAATTTGAGAAGACCCCTCCAGAACTTTATGAAAAACAGCGCTAACAAACTTACTCTCAAATTCAAGATGGCTGCCTGTCGTCCATTTTGGTTTTATGATCAGTCCCAAAAATTGATATGCATTACTAGGGATCATGGGGAACCTTTATGTGAAATTTGAGAAAGATCCCTCCATTGCTTTCTGAGGAACAGCGCTAACAAACTTTCATTCTCAAATTCTAGATGGCTCCCTGTCGGCCATCTTGGTTTTGTAATCAGTCCCAAAAAACTATTCATAATTAAGGTCGATGAAGAACCTATGTGAAATCTTGAGAAATATCCCTGCAATACTTTATGAGAAATAGCACTAACAAACTTTCATTCTCAAATTCAAGATCGTTGGCTGTCGGACATTTTGGTTTTGTGATCAATCATAGGGATTATGTGGAACCTTCAGGTAAGATTTTAGAAAGATCCCTCCAGTACATTCTGAGAAATAGCGCTAACAAACTTTAACTTTCAAATTCGTTATGGTGCTAACAAGAATTGTTTAAGGACAGACGGAATGACGGATTGACGAACGGACCAGGATCCATCTGATGATGGTGGGCAAAAAATATATATTTAAAAGTAACCAAACAAAAGTGTTCATGTTGATAATTTAATGACACAGCTTTTACATATCATTTTACATTCTGGCTTTGTCAAAATACAAAGTACAACCATGATACGATGTAAGTGTATATGCACAGGTGTTAAGCCCCTACCTGATATTTGGCTGTTCACTGGTCAATATTTACTAATCTGTAAGTATATATAAATCTAACAGCAGTATACATTGGATGTTCTTCATCATGACAGAGTGCCAGGGAAGTGTGTTAATACTGACCTCTAGTGATGACCTTAACCTGGTCTAAATGTCTAGAACAATATACCATAGGGTGTGTTAAGCCTCATCAAGCAGTTTTTATTACCCATAGGACATATTACTGTCCATGACCAGAAAATATCACATGTTTACTGAGGTGCACATTATCCTTGACATACCTGACAGCTGATTGTTAAGATTTACAGATCTGCAGCAAATATGAATGGCAAGTCTAGTTTAAAAACAGAGTATAATGTCTTAAGGGTCCATTTAATAAATCCACTATTGCTTTTCCAGCCCATAAACAAATCTCTTCAAGTGTATATATTTAATGAAAAAGCCAAAATTGCAATTTCATGCTACAAAATTTAATGGATGTATGATGTTAAGTGAACACATTAGATTTATGTATAAACGGGGAAAAAATAAGACCCCAAACAAAGTTTGCGGAACTTAATCAATCCTACTTTTGGACTTTCAGAAGAGAAGTAATTGAAAGTTTTGAGTTCTTTTATCTAGCATGGTGATAACAGTATTGTAGAGAATTTTCCAAAAAGTCTGTTCCTACTATAAATTAAATACCTAATCTGGATCTAGCCCCAGTAAGATGCAGTTTACAACAGTTGACAAAAATTATCAAGAAGGTATAGTTCAAACTGCAATTTTAGCTATAAGCTTACTGATATTTTGTTCTTAAGCGAGACTATTACCCTAATTGTTCAAGTCTATCCAGCTGCGTAAATGAGTACCAGCACAAAGGAAAGTAACCCAGTGAAATACAGGTGTCTTTCTAAGATGAAGATAGAGGTTCAATGGAATCCTTACAATTGGGTTAAATTCTGCCAATATCAATAAATCTGTTATTAGGCTTGGAAAAAAAACTTTCATTCTCAAGGGAAAATATTTAGTGAAAATAAAATGGAATCATTATGATGTTAAATATAATGGAAACTGCAACATCTTGCAATAAAAAGCCTTGCAACAATGGTAATAAGATTTCCTTTTTACTTCTGGAAATGATTAGGTGTAAGTGATATACAGTAATGCAATCAGAGATCATCAGTGTTGGGCTGGTTGCTCCAGGTTAAACCTTAATTATGTTTTACTTACTTGTCGTATCTTTGCTAGCTTGCAGCTCTTGGCAAGAGTTTGTGAGTCTGAAGAATTCTGGTCCTTCATCGATTGATCAGTGTTGGTCTGTGCAACAACTGGGCTTTCTTTGGTCGTGGAAGGATTTGGATCAGTTTTGGCGGGAGACGCCACGGTCTTGTGGTCAGTTTTGACCTGGGTATGGTCAGCATTAATAACTGGCATGGTCATTTGGTGGTCACCTGGCCTGTCTATCTTTGATGGGGAGTCCTTTCGATTCACAGACTGGCTGGAGGTGGGGACTTTACCACTAGACTGTAGTAGCTGTGGAGGTCGGCTTGGTTTTGTGGACTCGTTGGAGCTCATGCTGTCTGCCAATGACTGTAAAACAACAAGCAGAAATAATCTCACTATACTCTCCCTCTACAATTCGGAGTTAATTCTAAAAGTTTGTTTTCATCTATAACTTTTATTAGAATAAGGTGTGATGTACCGACATTTATTACATACTTACTAATAAATACGTTTTTTTTTGTATATGCTATACGACACAATTGCTCTTACCCATATCAGCCCTTGCCGTATCACACCCAAAAACCTGTATCAGCCCCCGCCGTATCACACCCCAAAACCCGTATCAGCCCGCAAAACCCGTTTAACACCCAATTTGGAAATTTACGTTTTTCAATATTTCAAAAGAAAAATAGATAATAAGATAGTAGCTTTTATTAGTAAGTATGTAATAAACAGAATAAAACATGCCTTTTTCCATATCACACCCAGTATCAACCCGAGACTGGAATATCAGCCCCAATGTATTAATCTATATATATATGTGATACCAAAATATGTCTTGAAAGCTTGAAAAATAATACGGTTTCTTGATTCATCTTGAAACAAATTAATAATTACTATTAATATTTACATGAAATTGATATTTATGTCCCAATTGCAAAAAAGATGAATAGGCACTGTAAGGGGCACTGTGACCATAACACTTCAGAATAATGTTTATGTTATTCTGATCATAATCAAACTTCAAAATAGACTTTGGAGGCAACTGCCATGGTAGGCATATTGGATTTCAAACTGGCCCCAAAATATCAAGAATTGGTCAGAACTATTCACAAATCATTTTCAGTAAGTTTTGGCAAAATTGGCTCTGTAGAATTTGCATTTAAATCCAAAATACATACTGGTAGCTGTCAACCCTCCCTCATTTTGACTAAAATTTACCAATCTCCTTCAAAACTCTCTCATTCATGTCCAAACTCACACAAACTCAAAATCTACATCCTGTGGTCAAATGATCTGCTAGTAACTGTGTAAAGGTGTGTGTAATGACCATAACAGGTGTGGATGTTTTTTGGAGTTATTTTGATACATGAAAAAAGAAAGTTAAATTAAGAAAAGCAGTTTCAATAGCAAAATGTATTAAAATGGTATCTTTGACCGATTATAGCACAAAAAACGAACATACGGTCAGTATTCTTTTGGGTATTTTCTACTATGCCATTAACTCCTTTTTCCAAGATTGCATATAAGAAAAGAAGATTGCATACAAGGAAAGAAGTTCAATACAGGAATTTTTGACTTTTCAGATGAGTATATTTTAATTAATTGCTGATTTTCTGGGATAAATACAGACATATAGAAAGAGATTAGTATAGTATAGACCTCCCACATATTACATAAATTATGATAAACTTGTTTGCTCCTTCCACATATCGCAGATATTATGATAAACTTGTTTTCTTCTCCCAGGCATATTGAGTAGTATGACAAGACAATGCATTTTTTTTTCCAGTTCGGCTAATCACATTAACACCAATGCAGAAATCATAAAGTGTCACCTGCACACATTTACTTCCCAATAACACTGATTACAGAGATACAAAGTGCAGATGTTAACTACCTGTACTGTCTTACAGCCCACCAGGTGTCCATTGTGTATTACCTGTAATTAACCCTGCAGTTTCTACAATACACCTTCTGTACACATTTGGTAATAAAAAAATGTTTGCTGACATGTAGGACTGTTTTTGGTATTCAATGTTTTTCAAAATGAAAGAGAAAAGATGCCAGGAGCAGCATGTCCCCCCTTCCTTCTCCGCCTTAAAATAATCAAGAATTCATGGCTATGCTGCCTTTATCAGCCTAAGTGGAAAGATAGCCATGATGAAGTTTATACCCATGATGGAGAAATAACATGCAATATATTTTCTGTTTTGTAAGAGGTCAGGTTGTAGCAGCCTCGTTAATATTCAGACTTTTGTCGGGTAACAGGCATGAACAATAGAAGTTTCATCACAATCTTATGCTGGAAAAAACACTTCATTAAGGTTTTTCTTAAAATTCCTTCAAGCAAGAAAGAGTAAACCATATCTGGAGATAATGTAAACCTTACAAAAAAATACTTGGCAGGTGCATATAGTATGGCCACTTCGTATCATCATATATACTATACCAATAACGACCTGTTATTCCAGTGAACTTAAGATACATTTCAATAAACATGCAAACAAAAACAGACTGTTGAAATGCTTAAAGCTCATAGTAAAGCTCCATTACATATAGTATACACTAGTCTGTTGAAGGTTTCCAAATGGTCTTCGTTCCAGCTATGTGGAAGCATTATACTAGAAGCCATCAGAATTCAAGGCATTTATGTAATATCAAGTACCTCGACAGCCAGCTGCTTCTCTGTTCACACGCTGCACACTACTACCTGGCAACTTTTACAAAAATAATAAACACAGACCAGAAAAACATTTCTTCCTTCCAACCTACTTCATGCATCTCACTCAAACATTTGTTTACAAAGAACTAGTTTGCATCAATCTATTCTGAAGCATGCTTTGCTTACCATATTTTTTCCAAGAAGTGGTACATTTTCAGAGAAAAGACACGCTCCTGCCTCTTCCCCCCTCCCCAACCACCTCCCTCCCATTTTGTTAAACAAATTTTACAGCTTGAATCTACTGTTTGAAGCAATTTCCTATTTATAGTAAGAGTAACCTTGACCTTTGACCTTTTCACTTGAAAAGCAATTCCAAGCAAGTACTTTTTGAGCATGCAAGCTTGCATAAAGTGACCAAGGAAGTTTTTGCTATCTTGAGCGAGCGTTATAATTATATCCCATCTGATGCAGGAGATGATAAGTACTTTCAGAGGAAAACATTAATTTCTTTATTATTCAGCCCAGTGTTCCTTTCACCCTTGTTGGACTTAAGCATCCAGGTAAAATATGGTAGGTTTGTAGGAAATGGCACGGGGTGTATAGAGGCACTTACATGTGGCAAGGGGTTAAACAGTAACTCATTTAGTGGTAACTTTGGTAATGTTTTACAAGAACTCAGTTAGTGGTAGCTTTGAGAGGAACTGATTTATATATAGGTAGCTACGGTAATGTTTTATAAGAACTCAGTTAGTGGTAACTTTGAGAGGAACTGATTTATAGGTAACTACAGTAATGTTCACAAGAACTCAGTTAGTGGTAGCTTTGAGAGGAACTGATTTATAGGTAACTATGGTAATGTTCACAAGAACTCAGTTAGTGGTAACTTTGAGAGGAACTGATTTATAGGTAACTACGGTAATGTTCACAAGAACTCATTTAGTGGTAACTTTGAGAGGAACTGATTTATAGGTAACTATGGTAATGTTCACAAGAACTCAGTTAGTGGTAACTTTGAGAGGAACTGATTTATAGGTTACTACGGTAATGTTCACAAGAACTCATTCAGTGGTAAATATGCAACTGTTTTCAGAAATGGCTTCAGATGCTAATACATGTACAGTAATGTATTTTAGGAACGCACGTTGAGGTAAATCTGGTAGTTTTTTTACAAGAACTCATTTGGAAGTAAATATTTGTACATTACACAAGGAATTATGATAATGTAGGTGTGTTATCATCGCCAAGCATGTCATAACAACCTTCATTGGAAGTAGTAAACATGACTAGCAACAAAACTAATGTTCATGGCAAGGCTTTTCTTTCCGAGTTTTATTATCTGAAACCTTTCATTTTTCACAGAATCTATTTGTTTGTTACATGGTGGCGGTGTATGTCAGGAAGATATTCAAATTACCCTCTAGAGAAATGCATACACTGTATCAAACTGCATGTATCACAACATGTATTACTTTAGTAGTTATTGGCCTGTATGTTCAAGACAAACCACCTCTCTCACTACACAATCAACTGCATTTTTGAAGTTTTAAAAGAACAGATGGCATTGTGCCTGTGATATATTTAGTGTCTCTGAAAATTTATCTATATCAATATTTGGAATGCATTTAATAGTACAGTTATATCTACCTTTGAACATTAAAATGAATACGGCTATTGTCTGTCACATGTGGCTAATATTGTAGAAGCAGAAATTCTTGCATGTGAAAATGTTTTCGCTGTTACTCTTTAAAATGACTGCAGAGTTGAAATTTTTGAATTGGCAATAGTTCTGCAATCTCTATATTCTTCATATCTCTAAGCTTTATAATTTATAAATAAATGTTCGGGAGTAGACATTTTCACGCTAATTTACTCCAACACTTAAAAATATGGTAAGCAAAACTTAAATCTGACACGTCCTTAAATGACCATAGGGTGATCGGGTGGTGCAGTGGATAGCACACTTGCCTTTCACCAAGGCTTCCAGGGTTTGATTCCCCGAATCGGACGTGAAAAGGTTGGGGTCACCTGCCAAACCACATGGGTTTTCTGCGAGTACTCCAGTTTCCTCCCACAGTAATACCCTGCGCACTAACATCCGGGCCACCAAGAGTGATTAATATTAGTTGAAATAACTTGTTTCATAATTGTTGTAAAATAAATAAAGTTTATATTTATACTCAACACTGCAAAAAGAACGAGCATTTCCTTACCGAAAAAAAGTCCCGCTTTTACAGTATACCGGAAGTTTCGTTAATTAATGAACTTAACAGCTACCATTGTTACCATCTAGAAAATGTTTGGAAATACCCAGCAACAGTGACATTGATAGTTACCTTGACCCATTTTTAACTACAAAGAATGGGAAGGTTGCCTCACTTGTGGGATTTTTTCCCGTAAGTGTTTGTAAATTACAGTCCAAACTGACAGACAGTTACCTTGACCTTTGGCATGTTAATACTGAAATAATATAAATTTTTGCCACTTGTATGCGTAATCAGATAATTTAAAATATTGGGAGTCAAGCTGAAGAGTTACAAATTAACAGATAACTACTGTTTACACAGACAGAAAAGGGTGACTCCAGCCGAATATGTAAATTAGATTTACAGTTATATTTCTGTTATGTTTTTATCTTATCAACCCTAACATATTCTTCACCAGAGAGTTGTAATTCCAATGAGGTAAACTTCACACACTTACCAACTTTCCAAGATGGAGGGCCAAAGCTGAGGTAATTGACAAGTCATGTTCGTCTTCCTCTGTCACCCCTCCATTTCCAGGGCTGTTCCGTTGTGGTGATACTCCCCTGTGTAGGTACTGGGGCGGTGTCCTGTGGGTCAGGCTCTGGGTGGGTGTGGCCTTCTGAAGAGGCTCAACGGTACTGTGAGGCAGGTCTTGCCTGCAATCCTCCAGTGGATCTGTCCTTTCCCTTGCTGGAAAGAGTTTTATGAGATATTGCAAATGTAAAATGCTTGTATCTCACGAAAGACTTTTAAAATTCAAATGATACGGAAGTGGCATGCGACAAAGTTGCTCTATTGATCGACCTGACACTGGGCAAGTTACTATAGCAATCCATCAGAAAGCTCTATTTAGATCATGTTTTCCAATTCTACAAACTGTGAAATTACAAAACATAAAATTTTTAGAAGCCAAGCATCTCATCAATCATGAAGGATGGAGGGGATTTACGTGCAGAAATGAGATTTGCATGTAATGTGCAGGTTTTGTCCTTGTAAGATAGTTGTGGGGGTGTTGGCGACTTGCGTGGGCCAATCAATACTCATATTGATACTCCCTGCAGTGCAGCCAAGCAATGTTTAAACTTTCTTACACACTAATACAATTACCACAGCATATTCTGCCAAATTTTTGTCTCTTTCGTTTAAACTTCTGAACCACTTAAATGTTTGGATTTTGAATTCAAACTAAATCACACAAATTGCACAATTAACTTTCTTCAGCTCCATCAAAATATCAGACACAGACACAATTTCAACTGTATTTCGAGTATTCCTGTACAGCTCTCCCTGGAGCTCTGTTAAACTTTCCTCCTTTTTCACAAATAATAATCAAATATTTTTATTTTGTATCTCATTGATTAGTTACTTCTTACTTGAGGTCTGTTTAAAACTTCATAAACAAATAATTGATACAAAATATTATTTTGAACCTCCAAACCAATACATTTGTACGGCTCTCCTTAGTTCCATTAAAACCAATTTCAATGATACTTCACATTGAACTTTGTGTCAAATCTCAAACCAGTACACTTGTACAGATCTCCTCAGCTCCGATGAAACATCTTCCTCATTAATTAATGATAAATCAGAATTTTAGGCCGATCTAGAATTAGTTAACAGGAACTTTTTGCCCAGTCAAACTTCCCCCCTACACCTGATACAATTTGTAATTGTCCCCTGTTAATTTCCTGTTTCAGTTTTCAGTTATTATGTTGTTTACTTATGTTCGCTCTGAATATTAATTAAAAAACAATACTGCGGGAAAATTTCGCCAGTTTACAGTATTTGCACAGCATTCCCTTCAAAACTCCAATAAAACTTTCCTACCCAACAAAATAAATAAACAGATTATTTAGTTGGATTTCTGACTACCTACAAATACAAAGTACTGCATATAATTCTAGCGGATATCAACTACAGACATCAGTAACAGCTTTGAACATAGAAGTCTCCTACATAACGAAAACGAGCCAAGTTTGACCCCAAAATGATTGATTTTGTCCGAGTTTACTTAAGATTTCATCAAGGATAACAATTCCTTCTAGAATAGCCTAATCAATTCTCGTACACTGATGTTGAGTTATATATCAATAGAAACTTCTATCCTGATCTATAACTGTGTTTAACAAACACAACTTCTATCTGGTGAATGTTGTAAGTTCTCATTCTCTGTTATAATAACTCTCTGTTTAATAGAAATCTAACCGAAAAAAAACACATCGATATGTCAGCAAGGCTCACCCCCCACCCCCCAGCCACGGACTGTATATGTGTTATCCCGTAATCGATAAGCAGAAGCCATAGTGATTATCTTGGATTACTTACTGAATATGGGTAATACTGCATGTAACACAAGTATGTAACCTGATAAGTAACATTTACCACCAAGATTAGGAACAAAATAGAATCAACTGAACAGAAGTTATAGTGGAAAGGTCTCTGCCAATCAGAAACAAAAGGCATCAATCTTGTATTAGGAATCTAGATAGAATGTCCTTATTCAAAATGTAGACTGTCCACTTACCACCAAGTATCAACAAAATTGGATCCACAAATAAAAAATTATCCCCACATAAGCTCCAGACAATCAGAAATGATATCACGACTAACCTTGGCCATTTTTGGATTTCAGGATCTTGATTCGACTTTGTTAATACATGCTATCTGCCACATATGACAGAAAGGGCGCGCCAAATTACCCCTGTTCAATATTTTGTAACAGTGATCTAGACATTGAGTGGTGGCCCGGCCTCTTTGACTTCTGGATCCCAGTAATATGGCATTTAATTCATGTTGGGTATTAACTGAGTACCATTCCTGCTAAAGCAATGGGTAAAAGGGCTATACATTGTATATTTTTTTTATATTTCAGCAACTGACCTAAACCTTGACCTTAGGGACTTCTTGAGCTCCCTACTACACATCTACATGTAATAGAGTATAGTCATATATAACACTTCAGAAATTTTAGACTTCTTGATTCTGACACTATCTTGGGGAACATAGGCACGGATCCAGGTAAAGAAAGACTGACGTCGGACACGGATTGTCATTGGTCACCTGAATCTTTGATGCCAGACCCTCAATGCTTTGATGACAAGGTAATCATAATCTTTTCCTTTGGTAAAGTGTTGAAACACAAACTTGTATAAGTTACCTCCTGAAAGAAGTTTCACGGAAATCCAAAAGAAAATAATTGTGTTAAGGTGACCTTGATCTTTGGTGTATAATGATTAGATGTACATTTTTCTAAGCTGCCTCGGTAATTAACTTATGAAGGAAGTTTCAAGGAAATCCTACCAATTCCTTTTAATGTTCCAATTAAATATCATAATGCCATGTACTCGACTGAAAATAAAAAAAAAACAATTTCCAATCCGTTAGCAATTTGTTTATTAATCAACTCATTCACCCCTGAAATTTCACAATGAACTATTCCAACCTTGGAATAAGAAGAGTTCAAAAGTGTCTTCAGGGTTGAATGAGTTAATTAATATATGCTACTTTTTGCAAGCATGCAGAGCAAGGTGTTTGGTCATACCGTGTAATATATTCAACCAAAATAGGCTTTGTTACTGTCAATATTTCATTATACTCCCACAACCACTGTAGGTTTCCTCACTCCTCACTCATTGGATAAACCTGCTAGGAGTTGGTAAACATTTTTGGTTACCCACTAACAGGGAACACCCTCCACGTGATTTCATCTGTCAATCTTCTAATTATGATGTCAAGTAACAATGCTGATTTTCCTGTTTATCAATTTTCAATTTGTAAAAGACACTCAGTAAACTTTGTGTCTTTATGCTTTTTGAAAATTAACTTACTTGAGTTAGTTAACTGCCACTGGGAAGACATTACTCTAGTATGGCAGAAAGACTTGTATCAAGTGAGGTATGATTAGCTGAATTCAGCTATATATTTAATTGCCAAAAAAATATTATCCTGAAGTGAAACAGAACAGTAATTTTACCTTTACCTAGTGTGCAGACCTCATGTTATAACATGACTTTACATTATGATCACATCTCAGATCATACTTGCATGACAATCTGATAATTTATTCAAAAATATTCATCAGTTTTGAAATATGTAATATCAAAGTTTTACTTCATACACAAAGACTGTACGCATTAAATGTGTCGCAACACTTCAAGTCTGACTGGTCCCTTTGTCAAGCTTCAAGTAATAGTGTGACAAAGGGACCAGTCGGTCATGAAACGTTTCAACATGTTTAATACATACTTTGTTTGTGTATGAAGTAATATATGATATGACATAATTTTTCACAGACAATGTTATCTTCGTTCCGTAAACTAACGCGATTCATTCAATATGCCTAGAAACATATTGCTGTTATGACCTCATAAATGTTGAATAAAATAAAAATCATTCCTAAAGTAATATATGATATGCATCATGATCACAATTTTTCACACACAATGTTATCTTCGTTCCGTACACTTAACTCAATCAAGGTAAAAATATTTGCAGTCACTGCAGGCAAATACTGCTGCTCCCAATGTTTTATTACGTAGAAGTTTGTTAACAGTTGTCTTCCTTACATATGTATTGCACTCTGTAATTCGCAGTGTCAGCTTCGTAAAGCATGGGGTTACTTATACACTGTTTAACAAAGAACATCATCACAGAAACATGTATTTCATGATTCCAGAATCCTAAGGATCAGGACAAGTGACAGCTGGGATCCCATGGGCCTTAACGGTCACCTGAGTCCTACAGTATTTATTTTTGTTGTTGAAATATGTACCAATTTGAGTAAAAAATAGTTAAGTATAACGTTAACTTAAGTTTGTCAGGACCATGAGCTGATCATTCCTAGACCGAGTTTCAGTTAAATCGGCCTAATAGAACTTGTTTTTAAGTTTGAAAAAGTTATTTTCAAAAAAGCGGCCGTGGCAGCTAAATTTTATTTCTGATCGACCCGAAAAGAAAAAACTTTGTCAGGACCATGAGTCGATCATTCCTACAAAGTTTCAGTTTAATCAGCCCAGTAGAACTTGACTTTAAGTTTGAAATAGTTTTTCAAAATGGCAGCAGTGGCAGCCAAATTGTATTTCTGATCGACCCGAAAAGAAACAAAACTTGGTCAGGACCATAAGTCTATTATTCCTACCAAGTTTCAGTTCAATCGGCCTTACAGAACTTGACTTTAAGTTTGAAATAGTTTTTATCCATATGGCGGCCATATTGGATTTCTGATCGACCCGTAAAATAACAACACTTTGTCATGACCATGAGTCGATCATTCCTACCAAGTTTCAGTTCAATCGGCCTAATAGAACTTGTTTTTAAGAGTTTGAAATAGTTATTTTCAAAAAAGCGGCCGTGGCAGCCAAATTGTATTTCTGATCGACCCGAAAAGAAAAAAAAAATTGTCAGGACCGTGAGTCGATCATTCCTACCAAGTTTCAGTTCAATCGGCCAAGCAGAACTTGACTTTAAGTTTGAAATAGTTTTTCAAAATGACGTCCGTGTTGGCCATATTGGATTATTGATCGACCCAAAAAATAACAACACTTTGTCAGGACCATGAGTCGATCATTCCTACCTAGTATCAGTTGAATCGGCCTAGCAGAACTTGACTTTAAGTTTGAAATAGTTTTTCAAAATGGCGGCCGTGGTGGCCATATTGGATTTCTGATCGACCCGAAAAATAACAACACTTT